ATTTTTTTTTTAATTGTGAGCATTTATAATCTAATTACAAGTGCTTAATTTTTGGAAGTGTGTTACTTAATCTAGATTACATGTAATCAGTTACTACCCAGCACTGCTTATAATCTTATCCTAAAATAGCGTTCTTTAGAAATGCAGAAGGTCTTCTGCACACGTGAAGTTTCAGAGAATGGGATAAAAACCTGAACAAGAAGCAGCTCCCAAGGTGACTAAAAGAAGAGGGACAATCTAGGTTTCATGAAACTGGCAAAGTAAAGACTACTGAGAAAAGCACACTTGTTTAACAAATGTTTATTAAAAAATATCCAGAACAACAACAACAATACTACTACTACTACTACTAATAATAATAATAATAAAAAGGATGAGAACAAGAATAATAAAAAAAAAACTATTAAATTACTGTTATAAATGTTATGAGCAAATCTTACATGCTAAATCAGAAAAATAAATAAATTAAATAAATAAATAAATAAAAGAGTAATAAAGTGATTAGCAAAGCAAAAATTGGCATAATATGTTAAGTTTGTGGTCTCTATTTGACAACTTCAGTCAAAGTAAATGCATTTTAACGACAATACTACTACTACTGCTAATAATAATAATAAAAAGATTAACAACAAGAATAAGAATGATACAACATTTAAAAAATTAAATAAATAAAACACTTAGATTAACATGATGTAAACATCATATACGTAAATATTGCATGCAAAGAAAACAATAATAAGTAAACAAATAAAAATAAATGAATAAATAAATTAACAAAATTAACAAAAAATCAGCAAACAACAAAACATTTTAAGATTTTAACAACTGTCCATGGCAATAAAAAAGTTAAAAAAGTTCACAACTAGCTTAGGATGGACCAGTTCAGACAGTTCAGTCATCGAGCCAGTCCAGATCTGCTCCTTCTCCTTGAAATGATTTCCTTGTCACTCCGTAATCATACAATATTTCTTCGTTGAGTTTAATGTCTCTTGTGGCAAGGAATAAAATGGTTTCAGCAGGCCCACTAGGTAGAACCATTGTGAACCTCTGGGCATGCACATTAAAAAATTGTCTTGAGTGGCTTATTCTTCTTCCGAAGCAGTCTTTGTCCTGGTGACAGCTACAAGGGAACTGTTGTGCATCATGTGCATCAAGCTCCCCACCCTTTCCCCTAAAAAAAAAAATGTATGAGTGTTCCCCAGGAGCCAGAGCAGCCATATCTGAGACGCAGCTGGTACTGAACATCCCTCCATTTGTGGTAATAACTACGATAGTTTTCAAACCCCGCCTCTGTTGCCTGTTGCTTGGTGGGAGCATTCCCATTCACTGTAACGGGGAATTTGTCCCTAAAGGACTCCCAGTATCTTAGTTTAAACACTGATGCACATATGGCCTGGATAGATGTGCTGGAAACAAAAGAAAAGGCTCAGTTATTTGCATGATGTCCCAAACATTTATAGATTCGCTGGGTTTACAAAAAGATAAATGTTACGGTCTGCTCACCCCTCCTGGGTAAGTGTTCCATGTTCTTCGGTCGATGCAGCAGTACTGCTCTCACCACAAGTATGGAGCTCCTGCACCTGTTTCTGCAGGTGTTTATAACTGTGTGCAATAGCAACATGTATGAGAGATGTGAAATGAACAGTCAGCTGTTTATGTATGTCAGTGACAAAACACTTACGTTTGGAAAAGCCGTTTAACATCTGCCATAGGATTGGCCAGTGGTGCCCCAGACGCAGAAAGGAAAAACTTGCCTTTGTCGTCCGTTTCCTGGGCTTGTTTGTGTAAGTAGTCAGTGCGGATCATTGTAAAGTACACATTAAAATACTGTTGGGGGGGGGGTTAATGATTACTTTCTAATCATTTTAGAGATGCTGGGTATTTGAACACTGTTTTGTGTATAACTATTGACTTACTTCTTCTTCTTCCCTGCTTATCGTGAAGCTGAGTTGTTCCAGAGCACTTTTGGGAGTGAGGTGAATACAGGACCCATCACTCACTTCTTCCCTAGCAATCCACTGCTCCACCTGTAATAAAGTAAGTCAAAGCAACCTTTTGATCTGGTGAAGAGGTCATTAATTATATGCACTGTGTGTGAAATGGGAGGTCTAAGTATGACCACTTACTGGGTGTGTTTGAGATTTATCTGCAGCTTCAAATCTCATAATGTACAGAAATACAGATGTACGCTGCGGACTGAGCATTACCGTGAAATCAATCACAGATTTGGCGCTTTGCTGGTGTCGCAGGATCATCGTGGCCACGCAGTAGTGACGGAGGGATGTTTTCCTGCTGGATGACACCACTTTGTTTTTGTGGAGTCTGCTGACTATGTCCGCCATCTCTTCCCTCACAAGGGTGAGTTGCTGAAACCTAATATGATATTGTGATAAAAAATGCAAGTCAGTGCACAAATAGTGATGACAACACAACTACAATATATTCAATATTATGATAACTGAAGGATGATGGCCTAAATAACAATGTTTATGAGCAGTTCTGAAATACAAATCAGCAATAAATCATATGTGACCCTGGACAACAAAACCAGTCATAAGGGTCAATTT